CTGAGTTCTTTCCCTCATACCAGTGCACTCTCACGGAACCCCAGGCTCCACTTCTACATTCAGTTCCACTGCTTCCAACCTCCAGTGGCTCTGCGACCATGCTCACCCTGTCCTCCATGATCACCTTAATGTCTTATAGCGCAAACCCATGCAGGTGAGGACCCATGGGAAGACATCCACCCTTCTCCTAAGCAATATCATGTCTGAACACAACCCTGCCCCTCTGGCTGCAGCTGACTCATTTATGGGTAAGCAACTAACTTAAAACAAAAGCACTGTTCCATTCCTTGAAATATTGCACTTTGGGCCAGAGAGAAACAGGACATTTCTTTCTGGAGATTGAAGCCCTACAGATACAAAACTCAGAACCTGCTGATGGTTCTTTGCTCCTTGAGGAGAGAGCCTGCATGAGAGAACGAACCTGACTCCCTGGAAAGAAGCTGTGTCAGGTGTCGGGGGAAGGACTTTGGCAACATTGGAGTTTCTGGATCCATTTGTTCTTACAGTTTGGCCGTTTATCTGCCTTTTTTTGTGATGGATTTCTCAACCATTCCTTGAATTATTTGAGTTAATAAATTTCCTTCTTGGCCTGAACTTAATACAAGTTTTGGTGGGGTTTTTTTCCCCCCCCATGCATAATGAAAAATAACTCATTCTAATACAGTGTCCAATGAGAAAACAGACCAAAAAGCTACTTAAAAAGCACTGAGACCCCTGGCCAGTTTGTCTTAGTGGATAGAGCATTGACCTGTGGACCAAAAGATCCTGGGTTCGATTCTGATCAAAGGCATGTACTTCAGTTGCAGACTTGATTCCTGACCCCAATTGGAGGCGTGTGTCGCTCACATGATATTTCTCTCTGTCTCCCCTTTCCCTTGCACTATAAAAATTAATGGGAAAATGTTCTTAGGTGAAGATTAACAACCCAAAAATACCAACCATGTCACTGATGAAAGCATATGCTTATTTTATTGGGACTCACCTTTGAGTCCAAATCGGATCCTCATTTGCTGTCTGACTCACCCGATCAAAGCCTGATCCAGGCAGAGTCCGTGCATGCACACCATCTGGCCACCACAGGACTACACTCCCTGCTCTCACACTGGTTATCCAACTAGGTCTACTCTGCACTTCTAGTTAGCCATCAGCTAAGGCCATGGGTAGCTTTCATGGTAAAGACACAACTTCTGGGGTCTATTTCTGTGGGTGGCAGGAACTTATTCAGAGAAGACAATAATAGGTTAAGCAGGCACACCAAACTTTCTATTAGAGCTCCCTTCTCCAGAAATAGACCAGCCAACTTACTGACATGTGAGTGAGCATAAATTACAGAGTGAAATATCCCAATTATTTTCTGGCAAAATGTTCCTCTGGCTTCAATAAGACATATGAGAGGAAGTGTAGCCTTGTGTGTCAATCAGTAGAATGAAAGCTCTGTGAGAGGAAGAATTTTGTCTCTTTTGCTCAGCAGTGTGTTCCCAGCACTTATAGAATTACCTAAGCCATAGTATGTTACCAGTAAATTTCTAAAATGAATGAGATAATCAATGCCCAATGTTAGAAAGATCTGTTTACAATTCTAAATCCACACGTTGGATTCCGGCTTCCTTTTCTTGCCTGTAAAATGTGATCACAAAAACACTTGTTTTGCAGAGTTATTTTGTGGGGGACGTGAATACGGACACTATCATACTGACCACAGTTCAAGCACACCGTGAATGAGACCTTCCATTAAGAGAGAGTCATGCCGGGACACAATAATGACTACGTAAATGAACAAAAGCCTACTATTTGGCAGTGGCCACTACAATGAAAAAAAGCCATAGAATGCGGAGTAAATAACACTTTGCCAGGGGAAAAAAAGATATATTTTTCCTTTGTAGGTGAATAGAGAAAATTATAATAGAGGTAAGTATTGTAATTAGGTCAGAACCATAGGCAGTCTTCCCTGCAAAGGCAGGTCCTTGTGAGAAAAAAAGTAACTAAAATCAACAGCAGCAGCAGCAGCACCAATAAAAAAGTTAGCATAAAATCTCTTCCAACCGTGTAGCCTCTTGATAGCTTTTTCTTCACCAAGTCTGCTGCATGTCCCCATAGAGTGATCTGAGAAAGGGAAAACCTACTATCGATGCTGTCTGGACTAATTAAGAAGACTGTGGCAGACAAGGAGAGAGCACAATTTTAAGCTACCCCTGCTGGAATGAGGACTGCTAACTCTTCCTCCCTCCTGCTTTGCTGTTTCCTTTCCTTTCCTTCCCCCTCCCCCATCTTCCCTCCCCTTGAAAACAGCACAGATGGGGAGGAGAGAAGCAGAGGGTTCAAACTGATACATTATGTGGGCACAAACAAGTTAGGGGAAAACATCTTTGCGTGGTGAGAAAAATTCCACCCCTTTTTTGAACAATTTCTGAAGTAATGGAAACTAATATAAATGTAGCCAGTGCACTGTACATTCTCAGTCTGAAACAATAAAAAGCAAACTTAATCACTTAAAAAAAAAAGTTAAGAATAAACATAACTTGGAAAACAGACTTTAATAAAATTCTTATTCCCTCTAATGAAAACTTGTGAAATTTGGGCATTTTGAAAGAGATTTTATAGATTCAGTTCATTTAATATATGTATACATATGTTATATACATATACATCTAATATATGTATATATATGTATATATAATACACATTTGTATGTATTACATAGAATATAATACATATGAATATTGTGTAGTATATTATTACATATTTAATATTACCTTATACATTTTATTATATTATACATTACTATCCTATAGAATAAAAGGGTAATATGCAAATAGACTGAACTGCAGAACTGAACAAAGTGTAATATACTAAGACTGCTTAACCACTCCCTGTGATGTGCACTGACCACCGGGGGGCAGTCAACTGGTCGAACAGTGGCTATGACATGCACTAATCACCAGAGGGCAGATGCTCCAACTAGTAGATTAGCTTGCTGCTGGGGTCTGGCAGATTGGGACTGAGTGAGATGGCCCAACATTGCCCTGGAGCCCACCTGCGGTCCCTCCCTGGCCTGATCGTGCACCCATGGGGTCCCTCAGCCTGGCCTGCACTCTCTTGCAATACAGGCTGAAGGACCCCCACCTAAAGTGCACAGATTTCATGCACTGTGCCTCTAGTAAATACATGATTACAAATAGTTGCCCTAGCCAGTTTGGCTCACTGGATAGAGCATTGGCCTGGGGACTTACGGGTCCCAGATTTGATTCTAGTCAAGGACATGTACCTTGGTTGTGGGCACATACCCAGTAGGGAGTGTACAGGAGGCAGTTGATTGGTGTTTCTTTCTCATCATTTCTCTCTCCCTCTCCCTTTTTTTCTGTAAAAAAAATCAATAAAATATGTTTTAAAAATAGCTCTAAGTTCAATAAAAGGAAAACGCATGGAGATATAAGTATAACAAGGAATCTAATCAGGATATTTAGGAAAATAAGGTAGTAGCTTTTGGCAGCATGAAAAACCATTGTGTGTATTATTTTGAAAAAGTAGTAAAATATTTCATGGCGCAGAAAAAAAAATTCAATTAAAGAAGAGTGACAAGGAAGACTGATCCCCCACTGGCTCTCATTAGAGAAAGCAAGCAGAGGGATCAATTATTTCTATGAAAGGAAGAAGAAAAATTACACCAGATCTCCGTGGCAGCATGGAAAACTCTACATAAATACTTGGAAAACATCATCAGAATCGTTTGGCAATGGGACAGTTAGTGACAGAATTAACTTCTCTGGAGAGTCCACAGATAGTGAAAGGAGGAAAAGTCACTGGAAGAAATAAATTTTTCTCATATAATAACAAAAAAGTGATTTTTTTTTCCCCCTCAGGATAATGAAAGTCATTTCAGAAAACACTGCCCCAGCCGAAATCAGTTTGGCTCACTGAATAGAGTATCGGCCTGCAGACTGAAGAGTCCCAGATTTGATTCCGGTCAAGGGCATGTACCTTGGTAGTGGGCACATCCCCAGTGGGGGGTGTGCAGGAGGCAGCTGATCGATGTTTCTCTCTCATCAATGTTTCTACCTCTCTATCTCTCTCCCTTCCTCTCTGTAAAAAATTAATAAAATATATTTTTTAAAAAGAAAACACTGCCCCAAATGTCAAGTAGATCCATGAGCCCATTAGTTTAAATGTTCTGCCATCTTACTTTTTTTCCATATCTTAGTTTTAGATCTCAAGGCCCAAAATAAACTATAATCAAAATTCTTTTCTCATGATGGCAGGGGAGCATTATTAATTGCATTTTTGGAATGGTAAATAAAACAAAAGATTCGCATGGGTCCTTCAATAGAGTTGTTGTTTGGTCCAAAAATAGAACTTACATGTTTGGACTCTGACATTTACATATTAACAAAGACCATGTTCCTTTGCCTGTACTGGGGAAAAAAACCTTAATGCTGGCTTGAGAATGGAATAAAATTAATAAAGCAACTAAACCATACACTTGAGAAATTATCTTCACATTATGTTGACTTTCTCAGATTCTGAAACAGCCTATTTCCCACCTCTAATAAGTTTGAGTTTGCTGTGCTCAGCATAATTGGACACAGCTGCCTGCATTTTCTGCCAGGGTGTAAGGAAAAATGGAGTTATTATTAGACTTTGGTATAGCAACCTGCCTGGCCAATGTAAATCTCAACATTCAATTGTTTATTGGTTGTGAATTTTCCATTGTACAGGCACCTAGAAAGTCTCTTCACTAATAGGAATCTGGAGGAAAAGGCTGAAAAGCTCCCAGTATCCAATCAGAAAATTAATTGGTTGACCCATCTATAATGTTGGAGTCAACAATAGAGACACTGGCCAACAAGAAATTGAGTTGTCCTCAAAATGAATAACTGCAGGCAGCAATTTCCAGAACTTGCCAGAGAAGCTTGTGATGCTTTCAAGTTAGAGGCCTTTGTAACAAGCATTCCATTCACAAAGGAGTGGGTTTGAAATCAGTCTTGGTTTTGGTTTCCCCAGACACACAATCTGGGATCGGGATTCAAGGCTGTGTGGTTTAATGGGGGAGATGCAGAGAATACCAGCCCGGAAAAATGATAGTGTTAGAGAGAAGCAAAGACAATTACTAATGTTGATCGTTTAGCCAGCTATGCCAATGAGCAAATAGAGGTTAATGTCATGGGGAATCTCTCGGAGAAGGTGTTAAAATGCTTCATAAGTACTGAAGATCAAACGCAAGAGCTGGAATATTTATACACTGACTTGCGAGGCTGATCCCAGGGTGTTCATTCCTTGGCATTGCTGCTCTGCCCTGAGTAGAAGTGGTGCCACCTGCAGAGAAGTTGGGAAAAGCCCTTGGGTGGAAGATAGGTAGGTAATGGTGGTGGAAGTCAGATAGAACATACCAAAGTTTAGAAAGCTATGAGTTGAGGACACTGACAGAGTCTATCTCAACATTCTTTTGAGTGGACAGTCCATGCAATAGAAACTTGGAGGCTAAAATGCCAGCTCTATTAGGTTGGTAATAACTTCGAGAAGCATTAAGTTCATGGAAGTCCTAATGCAGATGGAAAAGAATTCCATAACCATCAATGATGTCTGCCATAGGTGAGAGACAGCATCAGCACTTAAGCCATACATGTGCCATTCTTTATTTACATTAGCAAACATTTCTATAAGGGGACAGGCTAATATTTAGGAAAATATTTTAGGCACACACTCCTCTTTGTTATTTGTTTAACAATTCTTTTTAAATGGAAAACAACATTCTTAACTTGTGGATATACAGAAACAGACACTGGCCCATTTCTCCCACCCTCTGTCTGCAGATAAAGTTTCCAACTTTTTCCTGTATGGGAACCCATTTTTTATTCTAAAAAATTATTTAAAACAACAGGGTGCTACAAAGTAGTTTGTGTGTTTTACATATAACTCTTAAAATTGTATTTAAATGGTATATAGTGAAGGTCTTAGAAACTAAAGCTGCTCTAGCACCCACCCTTAAGGTTCTTGGCACACAGCCAGAGATCCACTTACCAAGTTCAAATGTCTAAGTTTACGGAAGAGAAAACCAAAACATAGAGAGGAAAAAATACTTTTCTACCATTAAATGCTTAGTGGTTCACCAACCAAATATTGGCAGGTGGGTGATAAGGCCCATATTAAATCGGGACACATGAAATTATAACAGAAAATCTAATTCCATCACAAATAAAGTGCAAATTAGAGCCCTATAGGCTCTTCGAGGACAGAGGCTAAAATATGGCATGAAATAACAAGTAAAGGCTTCATGAATAAAGACTCTCCCAGGAATGGAACAATCACTTTTGTTTTACATTTTTTTCAACAAATAGGACTTAGGACCCTACATTGTGTCAGATACCAAGTGCATAATACAGGGCACAGCAGCCAAGGGTACAGCTATGATAAAGACACAAAGAGAAAGAAATGGAAACGAATGCAGTGTTGCTGGTTTAGGTGTAGATTCATTAACATCAGGCAGAATGCTTTAGCACATAGACCTCAATTCATTTTTCAATGGGTGAATCAATGAATTGTTTAAATAGCAATTTGGGCTTAGAGAACACATCACAACTGCAGTTGCTCATAGGCATTAGTAATAGGTTCCTTTGTTGTCTTTTACATATCCAGCATTTATAAATATATTATGTTATTAGTGATGCCTGGACCTGGAGGAGCAAACTGATATTCTCAGTCCATAATAAGGTGTACAAAGAATGTGGCTGGGAAAGAGAGCCTGAGCTTACATTAATCATTAGTTATTTACTTAGTGTATATCTGGCCACTAATCAACTAATCTAGGGGTTGTGAGAGGCATTAGTCAAGAGAGATGGCCAATGCACCCAGCTATTTGGAGAATGAACCCTCAGTACAGCAGCAGTAATTCATACCCAGTTGCAAAATAATCAGGGAGGGAGTGACATGATTGCCAAGACTTGTTGGGCAAGAAGCCAAGAACAAACACGCAACCCACTGAGCTCGGCAGATTATAAACAAGAGATTCCGTACTCCTGCGGTTTTCTTGGAAGGAAAGAGAGGTCCAATAGGCCAATCCTTTAAATGCTTTAGTCAGCTTAATGTGCAGCACCCTCTGGTGTGGGGTGTGTAATAAACTATTTAATTGGTTCAACTAAACAGCCCTGAAGTATTATCAGAAAGCAAGCGGCCTCAGGATATGGGAGTATTAATTTAACCATGATTAAATCCCATTATTCTGGCTATTTTGATGGCATTAAACAACAGCTATTAGTTAAGCTCACAGATTCTATAAATCAAGGATGCAGACAAGGCACAGATACATAGCCTATACAGGCTCTACAAGGCCTGGGGCTAAGCTGGGAACATGAGAAGGGCTGGGAGTGACATAAACAGTTGGGACAGGAATCTTCTGCAGATTCTGCACTTCCATATCTGACAGCAGAGCTGGGACAAACTACAGAGCATCAGCTGGGACTTATTTTCCAAAGATCATGGAACATTTATCAAAATTGGTTACATTCAGTGGTAATAAAAACACCTGCATAAATTCTGAAAAAAGAAATTGTATACCACTTTCTCTAATAGCAAATTAATAAAAGTAGAATTAAACTATACACACACACACACACAAACACACCTAGTCCACAAAAGAAAACTTTTTTAAAAAGGAAAAGCAAATCTACAATTATAAGCTATTTAAAAAATAATGACAATAAGATTACTATAATATAGAAAATGGCTTAACACTATTTCACACCTTAGAATTAGAATAATATTTAAAAGGAAATAAACTTTTCAAGATTTAGAAAAGAAACATTAAAACATATTTGAGGAAAACTAGATGAAATTAATTAAAAGTTAATCAGAAAAATCAACTCAAACAAAAGAAAGCCAAGAATTGGTTATATGAGTCTAAGAGGCAGTTTTTCATGGGTGTGGAAAGTTCTTAGATCTGGTGAAATCAAGAAAAGAACATGAAGCAAATAGAGAAACTCATGGCCCCACATTGAGTATTAATATCTTAATCTATTTATCTGGATATCTATTATATAAGTAGACACATTATATACATTAGCATACATATATATAGTATCCAGTATTAGAAACATGATACATTTTAATAAAAGAGGGCATGTTTTAGAAAAATAAAATTACCAAACCCTGCTTAAACATAAGAAAAAATAGACAACCTCGCCCTAACTGGTTTGGCTCAGTGGATAGAGCGTCGGCCTGCGGACTGAAAGGTCCCAGGTTCGATTCTGGTCAAGGGCATGTACCTTGGTTGTGGGCACATCCCCAGAATGGGGTGTGCAAGAGGCAGCTGATCAATGATTCTCTCTCATCAATGTAAAAAATTAATAAAATATATATTTTTTAAATGGCAACATTGGGAATGATAGAAAAAGATGCTGGATAATTGCTTCTAAAATTAGTCACTGTGCTTAAATTACTTTAAAAGTGATAATGTTTGACTATTGAAGACAAAACTAACTCCACTCTCTATTACTTCTCTAATACAACATGGGGGGAAATATGAAACTTTCCATTTCTTTTTACATTTCATTTATTAAAAAAAAACCATTATACCAAAATTTTACTAATATATTAAAATATATAAATTTTTAATAAAATTCTAGAATATTAAATGTACTAGCATATTAAAATGATAAAATAGTAGGTTATGATATCAGTCAGGCTGTTTTAAAATTGAGTTCACTATTTGTACTAGTTTTGTGAATTTATATAGCTTAACCTCAATTTCATTAACTGCAAAATAGTAATAGTACTGATATAATAGAATTGTGGTGAGGATATTAGAAGACAATACATACAAAGAACTTAGTAATATTTACTGGGAAATTTTAGTAATATTTATCCCCTTTCGTTGAAAATAAAGCCACTGTTGTTATTTGGCTCTGTTGATTAATGAGTTTGCCGACTACTGTTCTGGAGGATTAAAACTTCAATTAGAAACAAAAACTGAGACAAAAATAATTGGAACGAAGTAAAATTACCCTTATTTGCAGAGGAAAGCATTGCAAACTATGAGATTATAAGCAAATTAACTGGAAAGCAACTAAAACAATAAGAGAATTTAATAAGAAGTATGCATGATTAATATAAGAAACCAATAGTCTTTATATGCAAACAAATTAGAAATTCTAAAGAAATCTCATTTCAAGTTGCAACTCCTCCCTCCCCTTAAAAAATGATATAATACCTAGGAATTAACTAAGTCAGAAATGTGCAGGATTTATATGAAGCAAATTTAATTATAATTATAATTATATTGATAAATCTTTAACATGCAGTAGTAACTATTAGAAATGAGACTGGTCGTATGTAATACTCTCAATATTAAATATTTAAAGAATGAGACTGGTACTCAGTAAGATATGATTTAAATAGTTTGTAAAACACACAATTTCCTATTTTATTTTATGGCATTTATTATATAAGAATATCCATATCGAAGATTATATATTAGATCATTGAGACTGGGTGGGTATGTGGGTTGAGGGAGGAGTGAGTGGATCTAACTGGAAATCAGGAATCAGAGAACCCCAGATTCTGAGAAGGTGCCCTGAATTATCTGTGCCAGATACATATATTTTTTTAAAATCAGAGAAATCATGATGCAAAAGGTAATTTAAATGACATTAGAAAATGAGTATAATAAAAGTTAAATGATTAAAAATTCAGAACACAAAATATTATATATGGATTACCTCAATTTTATGTAAAGCCTATTATGAAAGAAAAGAACAAAAGAGTTAAAAGAATATTCACAATATTATTCTCTGTGTAGTGAATGGTTTGGGTTATTTTCTTTCTCCTTTTAAGACTTTTCACTTTTTACTAAAACTATTGATTGATTTTATAATTAACGTAAGCAGTAACTGTTAAAAGGAAAAATGTGCAAAAAGCACTAGGGAACTAGAAAAGAACACCTAGTTCCAAATCCTCATTCTCTTGTTTATTAGTTGTGATATCAGGGACCAACATTTTTATTTTTTAAAATATATTTTATTGATTTTTCACAGAGAGGAAGGGAGAGGGATAGAGAGCTAGAAACATCGATGAGAGAGATACATCGACCAGCTGCCTCCTGCACACCCACCAGCGGGGATGTGTTGCAACCAATGTTCATGCCCTTGACGGGAATTGAACCCGGGACCTTTCAGTCCACAGACTGACACTCTATCCATTGAGCCAAACCGGTTTCAGCAGGGACCAACATTTTTAAACATCACTCTTTGAACCTGAAAAATGGGTCCAGTAATACATTCAGTACATTTCAGGATTATTGTAAGAATCACTCTAGGTAGCACAAGTGAACTAATTTATAACCTGTAAAGTTAAAGGTATAGGAGTACACAATTATTTATTTCAAATTTAGGGTTGTATCTGCTTCAGAATTCAGAATTTTTCTGTTTCAGAAAATAATAGCATAGAAATAACAAGTTATGTTTCATCTCAAATAGCATTAAGGGATCTATCCTGCAATCCTATTTCTTCAGTGAAATAGTAATTTTCCCATTCAGAAGAATCAGTAAATAAAAAGCATTGGGTCAGTTTAGGTTGTTGACAAATTAGTTCAAGTCACATCAAGTTTTGCCATCAAGTAAACGATAAAATCATTTTATTTTCAAAATTTTTGATATAAGAA